GTATTGAAGTTTATATATAATCAAAATATGTACATATTTAGTAAAATAAAAGGATTTTCTTTTTTATTAATTTATATATTGAGTTTTTCTTTAATATAACACACACACACACACACACACACATAAATATATATAAAGAGAGATTTATGTCGTTTCTTTTTGTTACTAAAATATACTTGTAAGGAAAATTAATGAAGATGAAATATATGTACGGGGGTATAGACCGAGCGATTCGAAACTGAAATCAAACGAAAGTCTATTCGGGGTTCGTGCCGGTGAAAGTGGGAGAGCAACAGAGAGCAAACCGAACGCAAGAGGTGACCGAACAACTATGAGGTGGAGTGTTCGGTTGGAGCTAATCATTGCAGGAAATTGCCCGTACGATACGCATTAAATATTGAGGGATTCATCGAACATCCATCTAAGGGTGTTTAACAAGCAGATACACGTGTGTACAATTAATCTATTATATTGAGATTAGATTGTGTGGTACAAATTATTAAATGCAGTGTGACTAAATATCTTAAGGATATCTCATAAAAGAAAATAGAAAAAAAAATTCCAAATAGGATTGCAATAAGACATCACATTTCCTGCAAAAGGAAGAAGAGACAACGTTAAATACAATGAGAATATTCTTCTCTTATTAACGATAATAATAAGTCACGGATAGACGAGCCATTCGATCAATATTTCCTATACATTTCAATTTGTTCAGACCGAACCAAGTACATATTTTAGTGTACATTTCCAACAACATTATTGACAATTTTCACACATCAACAAAATAGTTATTAAAATTAAAGAAAATTATATATAATTTTTTTAATATATATCTACATATATATGTGTATGTATTTGTATGTGTGTATCAAATGAGTAAGATCCCACTAAGTAGCGATTAAATCATTTTCAAACTTCGACTTCCATTAAATATAACAGTTATTTTTATATGAATTTTTTATATAGTTTAATGTATGTTAACTAGTCCAACACCCGTGTATTATACGGGTGCTTGTTAAAAAATTATATTTAAATTTTAAAATTAATGAGAAAACTATATTAAATTTAGTTTATTTTTTACAAAAAAAAATATATTACTATATATTTTAGAATGATATGTGTTACTTATGACTTACATGTGTTATATTATATTAGTTGTTATAACTTATATCATATAACTACTTAGAAATATAAATATATTAGTTGATAAATAATTTTATTTTTCTAATTAATATTAAAAATAATTTTATTATTGTTATAAAGATAAATATACATTATTTTTTTTATACATACAATATGGATGTTAAATCGAATCTCATAAAAAAAAAATTAATTTGATATATTACATATTAAAACTGATAAAAAATACAAAAATTATTGATTTTTAAAATATATATACAATTCAATAGTTATAATAAGGAATGATATTAAAATACAATTAATCCATGTAACATAACCATAAATAATCAACATATTTATGGTAATCCGAACCTAATTATTTTTAATTTGGAATTAAATTAAAATTTACCCAAGCCTAATAACGAAACATGTAATTTTTTCACATAGAATTCTGAAGCACCAAAATCAGTCACGTAGGCTCAGCGCGTTTTGTATTAATATATAGGGGAGGGGATATGTAAATAATTAAAGGTATTCTTAAATTTTGTTCCAAGAAACTTAAAATTTTGAATACGAAACCAAATATTTTTAAATAAATTAATTATTATTTGACGGACAAATTTTGATAGTGATGTATATGTAGATATCATTTTTAGTTAATTTACTTTGTTACTCTATTTCATTCACACATTCTCCCAACATAATTTTAGATTTAAAATTAATCATTATTACACATAATTCTCTATAATTTTATTTATTTATTTATTTATTTACTCATTCATTATAACTATAAATCATTATTAATTGCTATTTTTTCTACTACATCACAACGAAATATAACAATTTATACCAAATTAATAATAAATTTACATCAAACAAACTAACTAGTTTTCGAAGTATTTATTAATTTCACCCATAAATAAATTTTTAATATAAATCCAATATTTGCATGGCACTTGCACGGCCGGCGCTGGGCACGTGGCAGTACAGTCAGAAGTTCGTTACAAGTACCAACCAAAAAAAAAAAATTAAATATTTATTTTGTCGCTTAGTAAAAGCAAAAATTGCATTAATTAATTATTATTAATAAACTATGCAAGATAAAAAAATAAAAATAAAAATGATATGAGAAGATACGCAGAGCAATGTATGGATTAATACGGAAAAGGACAAAATGGTAATTCAAAATAGTACTGACTGCGGTGTAGAGGTTAGTTAACGGCCGTTAACGTTAACGTTTTCCACTAACCGTTTGACAGTATATAATAAGTGCTTTGTTATGCTCTCTCTAAACTAACTCCTTTTTCTCTTTCAGAGCAAATAGTTCCTCTGTTTCATGTGTGACTGTTGAAAGTTGGTTTACAAATTACACACATTTTACACAGAGAGAGAGAGAGAGAGAGAGAGAGAGAGAGAGAGAGAGAGAGAGAGAGAGAGAGCTGTTAATCAATGGATCTGAAGAAAAATGTGAGCCTGTTCTGTTTGGTGCTGTTGGTGCTTCTTTCTGGAGCTTGGGCTCGAGATCTTCAGAAACATCAATCACGCCATTTGAGGTGTGTGTGTGTGTGTGTGTGTGTGCATTCGTATTTATTCTGAAATTTAGTCTCAATTTTGTGCAAAATGCACGTGAAATCGAGACTAAATTCTAGAATTTCCCCCAATTTTCTCCTGAAATTGTGTGAGCTTACGGAATTCGAAAATCTAATTCCAATTTTACGTCAATTTTGCACAAAAATGCCGTATCTATTGAAGCCAATTTTCACATTTTTTAGTCGGATTTTTGAGTTGTTTATTTTCATTTTTTTTTTCTCATTTTTTTTATGGTTTTTGGTGGTAGTGGTGCTGAGGAAGAGAAGTTGCAGAGCTCGAAGAACTCGACAATGGCGGATGGGTAAGTGAAAAAAAAAAAGATGACTCCACCTTGCGCATTACAATTGTATTCATATCTGAGCCGTCGAAATAGTCCCCTTTTCCACAACGGTCAAATCTTAGCCGCTGAGATCTGATCCACTTAATTCCACCCCCTACATTTAATTAACGTCTCTAATTAACTACGAAAACAATAATAATAATAATAATAATAATAATAATAATAATAATAATAATAAATGAAACAGATAAAGAGTTTTTAAGCCTTTTACAACAACATTTTGACTAAAAATGTACACAAATAGGCACTGCTTTTTTTTCTGGAAAATTGAATAATTATTCTGTTTTAAATTATTATTATTATTGTGAACTTTTGGAATAGAATTGTTGTTGCAAAGTGTGGGTAGCACTTGACACACCACGTGACATTTATTTTGCTCACCATCTTTTTGCTTTAAACATCAAAATTCCAAATGTTTTTTTTTTTTT